CTCTCTGCGCGGGCGGAAAGCTCGCCGTCGTGGTGATCGCCGCCTTTCTCTTCGCCGGCGGCAAGCTCACCGTCGTGGTGATTGCCGCCTTTCTCTTCGCCGGCGGCAAGCTCACCGTCGTGGTGATTGCCGCCTTTCTCTTCGCCGGCGGCAAGCTCACCGTCGTGGTGATTGCCGCCTTTCTCGTCGTCGGCGGCGAGCTCACCGTCGTGGTGATCGCCGCCTGTCTCTTCGCCGGCGGCAAGCTCACCGTCGTGGTGATCGCCGCCTTTCTCTTCGCCGGCGGCAAGCTCACCGTCGTGGTGATTGCCGCCTTTCTCGTCGTCGGCGGCGAGCTCACCGTCGTGGTGATCGCCGCCTTCCTCTTCTCCGGCGGCGGCCTCACCTTCGCAGGGATCTCCGCCGCCTTCTCTGTCGGCGGCGAGCTCACCGTCGTGGTGATCGCCGCCTTTCTCCTCGTCGGCGGCGAGCTCACCGTCGTGGTGCTCGCCGCCTTCCTCTTCGTCGGCGGCGGGCTCACCTTCACAGGGATCGCCGCCGCCTTCTTCTTCTCCGTCGGCGGCGGGCTCACCTTCACAGGGATCGCCGCCGCCGATCCCTGTGAAGGTGAGCCCGCCGCCGACGGAGAAGAAGAACCTCACGACGGTGAGCTCGCCGCCGACGAAGAGGAAGGCGGCGATCCTCACGACGGTGAGCTCGCCGCCGACGACGAGAAAGGCGGCAATCACCACGACGGTGAGCTTGCCGCCGGCGAAGAGACAGGCGGCGATCACCACGACGGTGAGCTCGCCGCCGACCGAGAAGGCGGCGGAGATCCCTGCGAAGGTGAGCCCGCCGCCGACGGAGAAGAAGAAGGCGGCGGTATCGCCGCCGCCCCTCTTCTCCGGCGGCGGGCTCACCTTCGCAGGGATCTCCGCCGCCTTCTCTGTCGGCGGCGAGCTCACCGTCGTGGTGATCGCCGCCTGTCTCTTCGCCGGCGGCAAGCTCACCATCGTGGTGATTGCCGCCTTTCTCTTCGCCGGCGGCAAGCTCACCGTCGTGGTGATTGCCGCCTTTCTCGTCGTCGGCGGCGAGCTCACCGTCGTGGTGATCGCCGCCTTCCTCTTCTCCGGCGGCGGGCTCACCTTCGCAGGGATCTCCGCCGCCTTCTCTGTCGGCGGCGAGCTCACCGTCGTGGTGATCGCCGCCTGTCTCTTCGCCGGCGGCAAGCTCACCATCGCGGTGAGCTTGCCGCCGGCGAAGAGAAAGGCGGCGATCACCACCCGCCGCCGGAGAAGAGGAAGGCGGCGATCACCACGACCTCACCTTCGCAGGGATCTCCGCCGCCTTCTCTGTCGGCGGCGAGCTCACCGTCGTGGTGATCGCCGCCTTTCTCCTCGTCGGCGGCGAGCTCACCGTCGTGGTGCTCGCCGCCTTCCTCTTCGTCGGCGGCGGGCTCACCTTCACAGGGATTGCCGCCGCCTTCTTCTTCTCCGTCGGCGGCGGGCTCACCTTCACAGGGATCGCCGCCGCCTTCTTCTTCTCCGTCGGCGGCGGGCTCACCTTCACAGGGATCGCCGCCGCCTTTTTTTCGCTCTTCTTCTCGCGTGCGGCGAGGCAACGGGACCTGCAACCTTGTTAGCCAGGCGGAGCGGCCTGCCCGGCCGTATCTTCTTGCTCTGTCGGCCGCGGCGGCTCAGCCTTCACAGGGATCGCACGCCGCCGGCTTCTTCGTCGCCGCCTTTTTCTTCGCCGGCGGCAAGCTCACCGTCGTGGTGAT